CTGGGGTTGTAAGAGTTGATACTAATTTGATGGCACATAATCAGAAAACAATTGTATGTACAGACACATATCTTGGTATGTGTGATCTATGTATCTGTCTGTCTGTCTGCCTGTCTGTCTAGCTAATTAGCTATTTCTATTATTTTTCACTGTCCTCAACCCTATAACTCTGGTGTACATTATATATGATATATACAGAAAAATAATCTAACCTTGGTTGCAAAAAAAAAAAAAAGAACCAAGTAATTTTATGCTGTCTCTCACATCTCTGTCTTTCAGAGACTTGCAGCTTTATATCTGGAAGATTAATTTGGTTGCTATAGATTTTTCTTGGCTTAGTAAAAGGTCTGGAGTTAGAAGGAGGAATATTCTTATATTTCCAGAGCATATACTGAAAGTTAATTGTTTAATGTCAAGATAGAGCACTGTCCCATGAAATCCTTCCATCACAAGATATTCAGTAGGTGTCACTCTGTAAGGTGCACTAAATTGATTTGTTTTTATTTTCAAGATGGGGCAGTCAACCCAAAACAGATGAAATTGCTGTGATGAATAGTCTCTGTACATTCATTTTGCCACCATTGCACACATTTTAAAAATCAGCCCATAAAGCTTTTGTTTTTCCTGTTTTTGTTGTTTACCCTTTTCCTCTAATTCATATTTTATGTAAAAGTAATTTCTTTTGAGGTCTAATTGTTATGTAGGCACACTTACAGCATACATCAGAAGCAGCTGTTTCCTGGATTTCCCAGTTATTTGCTACAGTTTATGTGTGATACCTCAAAAACTCAATATGTAGTTTAAGAAGATCGTAATAAATGCTGCATGAATGCTCCCTCATGATTCAAATTGTATTTTTCTCATAAAATTAGGAACACTATGCAGTACTAGGTATTGTGGAAAACAATGTATTTAATACATTTGATTAAATACATTTAAATATGTAGTTGTAACAGTGTTTTAATGGACATGTATTATTGTATCTTTGATTGATTATTTTTATAAACTGTCATGCATAAAAGTGTAAGATTGAGAGATATTTCTGTCCATAAAACAAATTAGGAGTACTCAGGATCAATCAAAAATAACTTTTCCCCCCAAGTAACTAATTGAGTTCAAGGGACTTTGGGAATATCTATTTTTGACATTCCTTCTCCTCTACCCAAAGCCCAAGCAATTTTCAAATCTATGAAAGATGATGAAGATGGAAAGGATGACAGCTTATTGAATATTTCTCACTGGGTTTACTAATTGGAAAATTATACTGCTTGTGTTACTTCTCGTGAGAGCTAGATCTGGAAAGGTCAGAAGCAAACTGGTACCAGACTGGTCTATTACAATTTATTTATTTATAATTCACATTTCTAAGGCTGATCAATTCACTGACAAACCTCCGGGCCATACAGTTTTAGTAATAAAAACACATTATATCTACTGGTTCACCTGACCAAAAGTAGAGTGAAGTACAATATTTGCTTCACGGCCCATTGTGAAGCACATATTGGAGTATACATAGAATTTATTCTTAAATCCCTGCATGTAAAGAATAACAGAATAGCAGAATGACAGTTGGAAGGGACTTTGGAGGTCTTCTAGTCCAACCCCTTACTCAGGCAGGAAAACCTATACCATTTCATTCAAAGCTTCAACTTTTAGTGTTGGCCTTTAGACATCTCTGAGTATCCATTGCAGAAAAGGTCCAATGTACTATTTCAGATTCTGAGGCTCAAATATTTTACTTTAGTCTACTAATTTACAATAGTACGATGCTATAATGAGACAATGAGAATTAAAAAAATGCCTTTTTCACATTTCTGTTGGTCTAGGAGGAGGAGAAGGAAATCCTTTTAGTACCATTATTTCAACAAATGATTTCCTTCAGCTTTCGAGAAGATCAAGACCTGAGTTGCAGCCTCCTGTACTCATTGTCCAATTTAGGATCATAGAACCAGAGCTGGATGGTACAATCCCAGCCCTATAAATTGCTGAACAAAGAAAATAAATGTTTAACCAGAGTTTCAGAACAAGTATTTGGGAAAGGAAATATAATGGTTCTCAATGAAGACTCTGATTTATTAAATTACCTGACCACCAATCAAGTAAAGCTGAAACAAAAGCAATTTCAGTTCAGTAGAAGTGAGCCCAGTGATCTTATGTGCAACATATTATATTTCTTGTTTTCACCATCTAGTTGCATCAATGGATGAGCAATCTCATATAGGTTTAAATTTAGAACCTACCATTATTGTGGAAAAATGATTTGAAAAAGGTATAAGGCTTGCTTGGTCCTTACCAAATTGCAGTATGTAAGGCAGCAAATCTCTTTCTTTGCAGCAAAGGAAAACTATCCTCTTTGGGCTGGATTAACAGACAATAAAATCCAAGAGCCAGCACTTGCTATAGTTTTGTATTCCTCACCTGAGGATTTTTAAAACTATTATATTTGAGCTCAGAGGGCCTGATTTTGATAATCACCATTTCATTTTATAGTCTGGTTCATCTGAAGAGAAATGGAGCTTAGAGCCATTCTCTGTAGAGAAATGTTATGACAAGAAAGAATGTCCTGCAGAACTGCCTGGGGTTTTAGGCTGTCCAAAGAGAGCCTTTGTATGCCTAAAATGTATATCTAACCTGGATTTGTTTTGTTTTATTTAAAAAGAGATGCATTTTAGGCACAAGCAGGCAAAACTCACTGTTGTCTGCTTTTATACTTTTTAATAGTAGGACAATGTAAATTGTTAGCTGAACTCCTGATATCATGTGCAAAAGTACATTTAGTGACAATCCCATCTTATGTGTTTCTATTCTGCTGTTCTTTGCTTGAGAGACCATAATTAAAGGCCCAAGTGAACTATAGCCAGAGGTTTGTTTTAGCAATTTTTGTTGCAGTCTTGGATAACACTGAATAAGTATGTAGAGATTTACAGTCAAATAAAGAAAAATATTTTTATCCCAGTGTCTGAATGTCAAACTAAAGCATTAAGTAAAACATGTTCTTTTTAAATTTTAGCATAAGTATGATTTACTAGATAAAAGCAAACAAGAATGTAGCTCTGGCCAAAAATATTTCTACCACATGTAAAAAACAGAATATCCACAGTAGATCTGCCTCAGCAGAAACTGACTTTAATTATAATTAATACATTCTAGGCTTTGTACACTCCTTTGCATGCCTCTATTAACACTGCACTGCCTTTCACATATTGGTTTAGCTTTGCTGAGCCCATGGAGAAAGAATTGCTTCATGACTTTAGGGCAGTGGTGGCACACGTGCCAGAGGCGGCACTCAGAGCCCTCTCTGTGGGCACGCATGCCATCGCCCCAGCCCCGCCTCTCCCCGCCACCTCTCCTCACCAGCAGTGCCCCAGGAGGAGAGTTGCCCCTGGGTGCAGCCTGCATGGAGCAGCACAGGCAAGCACATGGCAGCTGGGCAGCAGGGTCAAGACTCCACCCTCATGCCCCAGATGATGCTCAGGGCATGGGCGGAGGGCATAGCCACCATGGTGCTGCAGGGCTGTCTGGGTGATCTGCTGCGGCGGGCCGTGGAGGCAGTGGGTGGCCCTGCGGGCAGATGGGGTGGGGCAGAATGGGGGGGTGGAGCAGGGGCAGATGAGGCAGAGGGCAGAGCAGGTGAGGTGGGGGCAAACGGGGCAGGGCGGGGGTGGGGCAGTTTTGGGGCACTCAGTCTCTAAAAGGTTTGCCATCACTGCTTTAGGGTATTCAGCTGATAAACTGAACAAAGTTCATTCACTTCCAATAGTTGGAAAGATATGAGACCATTTCTCCCATATAGAATCCACCCATGAGTGAGAGCATACAAGACTTTCAATTTCATAACTGACATTCACAACAAAAATGACCTTCGGATTCATCCCATATTTCTATTTCCATCTATTAATTAAACTTTGTTATATGAAAATTATACACCTATCTTATATGCCTGCAAAAATCTTACAGACCTATGGTCATTGCTGCTGCACAGAAGCCATGGTGGCACTGTGGTTAGAATGCAACATTGCAGGCTAACTCTGCCAACTGCCAGCAGTTTGATCCTGACCGGCTCAAGGTTGACTCAGCCTTCCATCATTCCAGTGTTGGTAAAACGAGGACCCAGATAATTGGAGGCAATGTGCTGACACTGTAAATTGCTTAAAGAGGCTGGTATGACTTGTTTCCATATTTACAGTCAGCCAATATGACCTAAAGTTAAGTGTTTCATCCTTGGAAGCATCTTTCCTATTCTAACCTTTTTAATCAGAGGATATGAGTCAAAGTGTTACAGAACACTTCAGGTTCCCTCCATGCAAACATTGTTTTTTTCTAGAACCTCTGTGCAGCAGCAATTAATTTTAGGATCTAGATCCTTGTGCAAAAGATATCCAGTAGTTGTTTCTGAATACCAAATCTGGAGAGTTGAATGACAGGAAAGGTTATTGTGGGTTCTCCTGCCTCCAGGTTACTATTGTTAAACAATTCTTGTAATTATTTTGTCTTCCTCCTAAATCTGTCAGAATATCCCAATCTATGTTTTATTCACTTCTGCTGTAGGGTTTCCTGCATCCTTCACTTCCACCACTTTCTTCCAAGCAAGAGAAGCAAGCACATCAAGGAGAATCAAAAGGGAAATATCCCCTCCCATCTTCAAAAGCAGCATATGACTCATTTTATGAAGCGCTGGTCTAGGCAGCCATCTGAGACCCTTTCAAATGACAAGGGCAACCTTGGTTGTCATTTTCTACAAATAACTAAGCTGCCCTTTTTATTGTTTCAATTTGAAATGAAAAGCACCCTGTTTCCCACCAAAGGATTTGCAATGACATTAAAGGTGGAAGGATGCTGGTTTCTGTCTATAATTAGAGTGCAGGGTTACAGCAAAGAACCTTTTACACTTTGGATTTTGGACTCAACATAAAGTTTCAGCATTTTTCTGATTATTAATTTTCTTTGGAAGTCCACTGTGGCTGGTTACATATATAACAGATGAAATATTGTTTACTTACTCAGCTTTCTGTTTCTTGTAAGATTGGATGGCTCCAGAGCTTTCAAGGATATCCAGCTTCTAATAGTAAATGGAAACAAAACAAACTTGGTGAAAATGCATTAATAACAGCATCCTCTACTAATAAACATATTAGCTGTTGGTGAACCATAAATCTTGGCAGAACTTAAAGTCTTCAGTAATGTTTCTCTCATTTTTTTGCTTTGCAATGGTAGTAATAGGACAAAACAAATGCTTCCATTTTCTATCAGTCATGCTACATGTTATAATATACTGTATATTTTCTCTTACAATTTAAAGTAATGTGCTATCTCATTTTATTTTACTCATGATTAATTGGTTCCAATGAGTACAAAAAACAAAGAGTACCAAACATAAGGAATAATATAGTGAGTCACAGGTAACCAACATCAACAACTGGCTGACAAACTGTACCCAATGAGTAGTTCTTAATGGTACTACATCTACATGGAAAGAAATAAGCAGTGGGGTACCACAAGGCTCTGTGGTACCCCACTTCTAGTCCTACTTGAGCAAGGAGTTGGACTAGAAGATCTCCAAGATTCCTTCCAGCTCTATTCTGATTGATTGGCAGGTGCTAATGTGCATTGAGTACTAAACAAAAGATGAATATTGGGACAAAATTTTGGAGTCAAAATGCATTGAGTGCTAAATTTGATCAGTTTCAAAGCAGTTGAGTACCAAGGTACCACTGTACTTACATTTGGAGTCTAGCTTCTGTAGAAAATATTAAAGAAGAAATACAGATTCTAGAACATCAAACTATGTGTTATTTTTATGTTATGAAATGTTGACTTCATACTACAATAGGTAGGGCTGTGTCTTAGGTTCACATCCAGATAGAGCTGGAAAAACTAAAAGCTCAAAGGAAGTGATGGCAAGTTGTAACATTAAACTACAATGGAGGAAAAAAAGTAGATTTTTGATTACGGCAGCCACATGAAGATATGTGACCCAAAGTAAAAATTAATATATGAATTCTAGCTTAGGTTTCAATAGTATTCAAACTATATTAACTAAGATAACCATACTTTAGTCCCATTAAAAGTAATTAATCCTGACTAATACCTGTATATCTCAGTGATTTCAATAAGATTAATTTGATATGGAGCCAATATTGAAAGCTATGAATGGGGAAAAGTTGAAGAATTTTAACAGAAACTATTACAATTAGTATTTAATAAATCTTATTCATTTTGCATGAACACTTGGGCTCATGAAAAAGTATATAAACATTTAAATTATGCAAATCATTTGATTCTTATCTCGCAAAGGCAAATGTTCACTGATAGAAAATGAGTCTTTTTTTACACATGAATAAATTTATTAAATATCTGAATATATATTACAAATAAATTAATCATGAAAGCTAAACCTATAAAGTTGTCAAAGACCTCTGCCTCTGATGGTTTTTTAATGAATTAAATAAAGTATACTTTTTTGCCATATGCTACCAGAGGTATTTCAGAAGAACAAGTTCTTGTTATCATGCTGAATTATCACAACTTTAGCTTCCATTTTCTATCATTATTTTCAAATAGATCATGCCTACTTCTGGTGAAAACCTGTTAAAATAATTCTGTTTATGACAGGGAAGAATGAATCTACAGTTGTTGAAATGCAATGACATTTTCAAAAGTGATTCATTCTCAACACATATTTAAATTTTGGATGCATTTTAGATAAAGGCAGATAAACTAGGGAAGTAATCCAATTTTAAATTGACTATGCATTCTATCCCATGTATATTATTTGATCATATACTGTATTCATTGCAACAAATTTATAGCCCAATGATGTGGTTGTATTTTGAATGGGCAAAATTCAGAGGTTTCATATTAGCTATAGTTTGGCAGAATGAAGCAACCACTTCACCAGCAGATTTGGGTGATGAGGATCATGAGCAGAGAGTGACTATTAATATTCTACTGTAATTTCCAAAGACGAGGAATGAAGAATGAGCTACCTGAATATTAGGACTATGCCTATCCTTATGAAAAGGTTCTGGCCTCTGGAAAAAAAAATTCAAAGTATCCAAAAGAGGTATGACTACTTTAACAATGTGAAAATAAGTACTTGATATATGCTGTCATATATCAGGCATTTCTTTTAAAGGATTGAACAGCTCTATTAGGTGTGATGCACCCTGATTTCAGGAGAAAACATGTTGGCTTCTCTAATACAGCAAAATGTCTTGGCCCAACCTCCTCCGATTGTATGAGCTTGTGCTATTCACCTCTACTCCCCTTTATGCAGTTATATGCCCAACTTTTGAATTTAAAACCGTGTTGCTTCTGTTTCAATGCTTTGAGTTCCTCAGGCTGTCTCTGAGATGGTCCCTACTGAAACTGCCCAAGTGGGATTTTCTTTAGAAGTGGAAACATGCATCCTCTGAAGGAAGCATGTCTTTTATTTATTAAAAGCATTAATATTTTCCTTTTCCGTGCCAGTACAAAACACTCAAGGGAATTTAAAACAAACCAACAACTAAAATCAAAATTAAAGCAATCAAACACTATAATTAATTAAAAGGGAATACACACTTAATGAGAGACATCAAATAATAACAATATAACCAAATTATCAGGTTTTTTAAAGATAAAAATTAAACAAAATGTGTTCATCCAGAAGAACAAAATGCAACCAAGAACAGAACTACTTCAGCTTGGATTTGAATGTCATCCAAAGGAAGACCAAATAAATCCAGACAGAAGGGTATTCCACAATTTTGTGGCAACAACAGCAAAAAAGTCTTGTTGCACAATTCTGCTGAATCCTTATCATTCTAATTGACCTAAGAATACTAACTTTTGGAAAGCACAAAAGAAAACAGAAATGTTCATGATTCCATCATTCTAAGACACAGCTTTTTAGGAAAATTGGGAACTACACTTTGAAATGTAATTGTAACAAGGACATAAATCCATACATGCATACATGCTTTGTTGGTTTGGGTCACATTCCTTGACATTTAGATGCTTAATCAGTATAGGCAAAAATCCTCAAAACTGAAAAGTAGATAGCTTCCCACACTGGGGACCAAACTGGATCAGCTATATTTGTAATGATGCCTTCTGACATAAATGTTTCATCTAACTTCTTCCTGGTAGAGTCCCTTTCTGGAAAATCATACTGCATACTTTCTGGCAGCTTAGAATGGACTGACAATCTTGCATGATTTGTGAGGAAAAAGCAGACTTACAGCTGGAAAAGAAACAGAGGATTTGGCCTCTCCTAAAGTTTTCTGTCCCGCTACTTTTTTATAGTGAGGTTAAAGTTTACAAACTGTTGCTAAAAGAACAGATAAATTGCCCCTACTTGCCCCCATATTTTGTCTAGCTACAGTCTGGAAAGGATTTTTAATTGTCAATCCTTTGAGATAGGCCATATCAAGAAATAGACACCACTGGGATATAGAAATGCTACTTTATTGTTACACAATCTTGAAACCTTGCCCAAAAGCTTCAATGCCACTTTTTTATGAACAAGATCAAGGAAGGTCTGTTCCAAGTCTCTTTCTCATGCTTTATACTTTCTCTGTGCCAGTTAATCATTTTACCTCTTTTTCAAGACCAGAATTGAATTCCTCTACATTTATACGTGGGTTTTCATCAACTTTGAAACAATAGTGAATAATGAGAAGGAAGGGGAAGGAAAGAGTAGCAGTAGAATCTATAAGCTATGACTTCCCAGAGGAAACAAAAATGGACATATCTGATCAGGATATTTGATCTTAAGCTATTCATTTTAGATCTTATATATGAATCATTCTTTTACACTAGCTAATATAATAATGCATTAATTCCATTTAGAAATGCATAAATATTCTTTTGAATTGCAATTTTCCCTGGAAAGAGAGATCAGTGTCTTCTAAAATCCTGTAATACCTCTTGTTATGCCTGGGCCTGTGATTGACAGAGCAGGTGCAGGAAGCTTCAGAGAGACCCGGGCAGACTACATGGCTGCCCGGGCCAGACAGGCTGTCTCCAGCCTATTGCGCACGCACAAAGCGGGAAAATACATTGCATTTATTGGCTGACACTGTTCCCTGCAAAAGGGTATAAAAGGGATCCGTGCCATTTTATGTTGTGCTGTTGAAGCTTGAATAAAAAAGCAACTGTTGTTACTCCCGCTTCGTCTCAATGCCTTACCAATGCACAGAACAGGACTGAATCAGAATAGAGCTGGAAGGGACCTTAGGACTGAATCAGAATAGAGTTGGAAGACACCTTGGAAATCTTCTAGTCCAACCCCCTGCTCAAGCAGGAGACCCGTTACTATCTCAGACAAGTGACTGCCCAGTCTCTTCTTAAAAACCTCCAGTGATGTAGCACCCACAACTTTTGAAGGCAAGCTGTTCCACTGGTTAATTGTTCACACTGTTAGGAAGTTTTTCCTGAATTCCAGGTTGCTCCTCTCCTTTATTAGTTTACATCCATTGTTTCTTGTCCTGTCCTGTGGTGCTTTGGAAAATAAGTTGACCCCCTCCTCTTTGTGCAACTTCTCAGATACTGGAATACTGCTATCATGTCCCCCGTAGTCCCTCTTTTCTCTAGATTAGCCAAACCAAAATCCTGCAATGGTTCTTCATATGTTTTGAACCGTTAAGCTAAATGTTATTTGTTATATCACTGGTTTGGGGATTTATAAAAGCTCAGTTTTAAGGTGAAAATATGGCACATCTGGGCCCATGGAGGGAAGGATTAATGGTCCTAGCCTCTTCTTCCAGAAACCTTTTTGATTTATGACCCATGGACCCATCTTTCTGCTATGGCTTAGCTACATGGAAGCTACTGCAGTTCCACTTATCTTTGGAATATCCTGGTATTCATCCCTTAGTCTTACTCTATGAGAACTTGATCTGTCCTTCTGGCAAATAACAAGTTTTAAAATGGAAATAATGAAATGATTTCTGCACTAGGAACCTTGTCTTATTTCATAATGGCATTTGGAAAATGGATTAATCTACAAGAGAAAAAAACAAAATCAAAGGTAGGCTTTATTTTTTTATGGATAACTCAAAAGTTATACTTTACAAA